TGTGAGTGGAAAAAGCTCAAATACAGCCCGGAGAGGAGATGATACAGTACATCTAAACACACACTGAGATTTATGGCATCTTGCGCCCGACCAACCTTAAAGAGACTGCCAGCAAAATGTTGAGTCTGACAAGAAAAACGTCACTTTTCTTTTTTTTTCTTTCTTCAGCATCGATTCTCTCCGCCTGTGTGGTTCATTTAGATAGCCTACACTCATATAAGCCATCTTGGGAAGTGTCTGTGCTAATATTTGGACTGTAGTGTCTGGCGTCTCCACACAAACACGAGCACGTACGCGCGCAGACTGAGCTGTCTATTTGTTAGAATAAAGCCCATCAGCTTCAGTTGCATTTCACTTCTAAACGAGCTTGTTTCCTCGCTGGTGCCGAAGGACTGATGTGCCCCTTGATGCCAAAGAGTCTGTTATGCAATGTGGGTTGCACTTGATGCCTTTCTGAGGCAAACCCTTGCCAACGAGGAAAGAAGTGTAGGCTGTCGGTTACTTAAAATCCTACCTGAAGTGATATGGATTTACGAATTCGCTTTAAAATTCATTCATCACGTTAAAATTCAGAGCAGAAATAAACAACATTTGGGCCGCTTTCTTTGCTGACTGTGTATCTGTCAGCTCCCCATACAATTGGCTGAATAGGGGTGAAGGATGCCGTTTCTTTATTTGGGAAGTTCTGGGAAATGTGGGCCGCTGGAAAAGGATAAAGTCGGGAAAAATATGCTGATTTGCCCCTGATGCATTAGCTTCACATCTCTCCGTGAACCGGTGCTTATGAGGGAAACTCACATGTCGGTGATGTTCTCCATCTCTGCCTCGGTTTGCAGGACGGGGAAGGCATTGATACCCCGCTCCGGGTCCACGCAAGAAATCCTGGTGCTGCTGCAGGAACAAGAAGAGGGGCATGCCTCGGCGGACATCCACGGATCACCCGAACCTACCGCCACCCCGACTACCAACACCCACCACCACCAGCAGCAGCACCGCCACGACCCAAACCGTCTCCCCGGCGAGGAGAGAGCCCCGCTCCCGGGTCTCAAGGCGCTCATCTCGGGTGCCGCCAACTTCAGCTATAAGGCTCGCTGAATAGCTCCACGGCCCGGCCCAGGTTGGCTGGGATCAGCCCCGGTTCGGCCAATAGAGGAGAGGAGAAATAAAACAAAATCCGCCGCTGAGATGGATGCAGGCTACAAAACCATCGACCTCTCCGGCGATGACAGACTAGAAGGAGAGAAAGGGGTGGGAAAAAGAGAAAACCGGAGAGCGTGTAGTCCCTTCCCCGTGTGATTCCTCCAGAATCCCCCAGTCAGTCAGCCAGTTAGTCAAAATCTCACTGCCACACTGGCAATGTGTGCCAAGGAGGATCGCTCTCGCTCTCGCTCTCCCCCTCTCTCTCTCTCAGCTGACAAGCACCGGAACCTCCTCCCGACAGAGTTGTTGTGTGTGGAGGGTAATTTTCGGTTGTTGTTAGTGGTGGTGGTGATGTAGGTGTACAAAATGACTGTCAGAAGGTGAGCACCGCACCTCACCTTCGCCGGGATGAAGAGGATGAAGGAGCATCAATGCACGCCGTGAATAAACATCACCGATGCCCTCTTAGAGAACCGGTTCTCGTACCCTGCTCTCAGGAAGGTCCGGGGGAAGGGTCATGGGAAGAGCACAACTGTTTCTTGCTCAAGGGGCACATCACCAAAGCCTGTGCTCGCTCTCCACGCGTGTTGTCTGGTTAATAATTTATCCTCATTTGGTTTAGTTAAGTTTCCTTGTAGCAAGATGTGAGCGTCCTTATCTGACATAAAGAGAAAGACAGAGGCGTGGAAAGACCTGTGCTCTGAACAGCTTACTTAATTTATCCGCTACCTGGCTTCAGATCGTTGACTAAATGAGATACAAGGGGCTATCAATTTAGAGGCTCTAATTGTCGTAATCATTCTCATCAATGATTACGACCATCGTTTTTATGATTATCATCTGGCTGTAATACTTCTGGAACGGTACACAGCTAATCAATGAAAAACAAAGCTGTTTTTCGCAGTCGCTTCCTATTTAATCCTCATTCGACATGTTAGAGTAGCCGACTGTGTTTAAATATCCTGGAGCTTTATTTCTAACTGAGCTGAGAGATGCTTAAAGATGCAGGCTGGATGTAATATGTACAGAGAAAGAGTGAGCAATCACTGATCATCAGGTCTTTAGCTGGCATGTACTTCACCTGGCGTCACCATATTAAATCATTAGGCCATATTTCATAATGATCAGAGGCTCTCAGCCAAACCAGACCTGAATCAATAACATGTCATCTTAGAGTGCAAGTTATACGGCTGTATGCCAGTCACCCTGTTGCTATAGGCCAGATCTCCTTCAGCTGGATGAATTGCTAACATAAGAGTTGGTCTCTCCCTGCTCTCTACAACTGGAGAACAGAGCTACTCCTCCACAGTCGTTCACCTTATAAGTGAGAGACAGAGGATGACAGAACATCTGCCTGCAAGCAGCAGAAGCCCCAGCACGCCACATCTGCGAGGCTCCCTCTCCTCTCCTCTCCTCTCCTCCGTCCCCCATGTGCAGCTCTAATATGACGTTTGTGCTGACGCACAGGCAGTGCTGCTGAATAGAGGAGCGTAATTATGGAGCCCTGTTTGTGTGCAGACCAATCTGGTGGGTGTCTGCCTCACAAACTGGGGTGTATGCACTCTGCACAGAGCAGCGTGGGTGTACCAATTAAAAAATATTGTGTCTGACAAAAACAGAATATTCAGATTCCTCTCTGCTCCTTTACAGGATGCAACCTGTGTTACAGGTCTGTGATATATTAATAACACCAGGCGAACCGTCTGTCATCCTCAGAATGGGTTTTCCATACAGCACTGTGCGCTTACCACAGCACACAATACATTTGGCTTCTTGTGAATCAGCATGTTTCATGGTTTAAATCACCACTTTCAATGTATTTAAACTGTACGCGCATAAATTGACATTCAAATATGTTAAAGGTGTCTCTTTGGACGTTTCATTTGGCAGCCATACCCCTCTGGCAGTTAGTATAGGGTTTAATCCATGTCATATCTTGATAACCCTTTGCCAAAAACGAGCTTCTTTGAATAAAATAAGCAGCTTATCTAGAGTCAGACTTTAATTATTGAAATTAGATGGGACATTCCTTTAAAGTACTTTCTTTTGGATGAGTTCTGCCTCACAAAAAAGAAAAGAAAAACACATCCATTTGCAAAATGTTAGTGGGTGAGTCATAAATGAATCAGCTCTAGAAATAAAAATCAGAGATGGCATTTAAATATATAAATCTGTTTATTAATAAACGATGAACTCTGTTTGAGACTGATGTGTGTGCGCATTCTCATGATGTCATCCAGCTCCCCCCATAACAGCATGGCATCATGATGTAAAGATCTTTGCCTCTGGCTGTGTGGAGACTGGTGAATTGCATCGGTTTTCATTCATTATGCTCACAACTATTTTGTATCTTTACAAGTATTTGCAAATAACCATCAAACTGGGGCTACAAATAATATTCAATTAATCTCTTGATGGGTCCATTTAGATACAGGATTAGATTGCTCCCAGAAATATCCACTTCGAGGTGATGACAGTCGAGTATACAATCATCACAGTCTCCCCTGTGTTCCTTTCAGATCAGATGTTGTTGAATCCCAATCGCCTATTTTATCGTCACAGTCATTCGTTGTTGAGTCATAATTGCTTTGGCCGCTGCTTCGCAATCATGTCGCTCCATTAAAGCCACCTGTGCTGCTTCCTGTTGTTGCATCATATTCTGTTCTTGGGTTTTCTTTGACTGAGAACATAATATGTGTACTTACGGCTGTTACCTCAGGTTTGCACAAGATGAGGAACAATGTCTTGTCATTTTCAAGTCCAAACTTTTACCAGAACTTGTTACGGTTTATTTATTTGGGACCAGAAAGGGGCTGATATGCTGCTTTCGCCCAAAGCTGAGAGTAACAGAATCCGGGTCATGACTGGAACAGCAGACCAGTGAGTAGATGGGAGTATGTAATGAAAACATCGCTGAGCTGAATGTGTTTCTTCTTTCAGTAAATGTGGGGCGGTTTGGCACACAACACACAACCCGTGGAGAGACAAACCTCAGTCGGTCCGGACTATTTCCCTCCTCTTTTCTCTTTCTAATGTACTTTCTGCCTACATCAAAGTATGAGGAGATAGTAGTCTTCAGTGGAACCCACAAGTCTAAAAATTGTCTGAATGTCACTTTCTGAACAGAATTATTACTGCAGAGCTGTGATTAAAAGGAACAAATGCATGACATGATAAGCAATTTTCATATGAAAGGAAGTAAAATTTGGAAATTATTCTTAATTTTCTTTTAACTTTAAGAAAGTCAAGTTAAAAGTTTTCTTTATTTTTCTTTTTTTTTGTCAGTGGTTCAACATGCCTCCAGTTATGCACCGCTGTTATCGATTTTCCTACATATAAATGTTTTGTTTTGATGTTTCTTTACTACTGTGGTTTTGTACAGCATGTCACGGGGGTTCGTGAACTTATTTCAACCTCTACAAGTCATTTGAATTGTGGTTCTACTGACAGATTATACACCAGTGCTCTCTAGTGGCAGACGGGATACTTAAAAAGCCAATTTTCAGAAGGTACAACACAATGTTTCCAGTGAGCTGGGAGTTTAATCTAATAAGTGATGAACTTCTGCTTTGTTTCATTTTAGAAAGTCTGCACATATACAGAGTGTCCTCTCAGGCTGCTAAAGGACCAAAGGAAATGACTGAAGCTTTTAGAAAGTAATGCACCAATAACCATCCCTGTCAGCAAAAGAACAATGAAGTATCCCATCTGTGACTTTTTAACTACATAATCTGATCATCCAAGCAGACAGCAGTCCAAAAAAAGAAGAAGCCATTTAGTAGCCATGCATTAGTAACAAATAGTGGACACTATTCGAGAGGGGAGTGAAGTCAGTTGAAAGGAGGAAGGGAGGGGAAAAGGTTGGGACAGGTGGGGTTAAAGTCTTCCAGTGAGTGCCTGACATACAGTTAATGAAGAGCAAGGAAATGGAGCTGGATATAATAGAAAATAAGGATGGAAAACAAGGAAATGACTCAGAGGTAAGTAAGGCATAAAACAATCTTAAAAGAACTGGAACCTTTTCGATCATTTCGATTACAAGATGGTTTGAGCTACGTTTGTTTGTTTGTTTTATATTTAATAATTAAAATAACATCTATCTTCTGACTTTTACTGAAGTTGACAATAAACTTTGAGGCTTCTGAGGACAATTAAACCAACTCAAATGTTTTTTGAGCTAGAGTGGCATATTTACACCTGCAGCCAACACGTGGAGATTCACCCTTGGCACGGTGATTACAGTTAACTAAAAACTGTTACGGATTCAAATATTGGGGATGGATACAAGAGGAAAAACCACAATAACAACACTGGTCCGGCCGGGTTGAGTCAAACGATGATTTTAATGATCACACGCGTGGGAGATGGACACCGTACGCAGACAGCATCAGATCTCAAAATGGTGGAGGATTGATTAAACTCTTATAGCCTCTAGTGGCCCCACCTAATCATAAAAGCCTAAACATTCACATTCTTTCTCTCACACAGCGCCTAAGCTACGACCTTGGCTCCCTGTTTATCTGCTCCTGCTGAG